TCCGCTCGGCCTGTCGCCTTTTGACTTAATGGTTCCGTTCCTCTCTTGCAATTGTTCAGCAGCTCATTGGACTTCCATGAGCCAGTGCAGCTCATCAGCCAGCAGTTTTCTGTAGATTTTCTGTGCATATCTTCTGGGTTGATCTCCTGCCACACTGAGATGTATTTGTTCAGTGAGTCTGTACAGGCCAAAGCAGGTAAAAGGTAAGTGAGAGAGAACAGGAGTTTCTTTACAGTAGTACGGAAGCTACTGCATTTCTTGAAACCGCAGTCTGTGAATCCTCCTGAGTCACCCAGGAGGAGCACAAGGGAAGACAAGCATTAATATTAGATATTTCTATTGTAAAATAGCAACTCCTCCCAGCTATTGTGCAGCTGGGCTTGTGTGCCTTTTTTGTTTTCTCTATGTGTGGTTTAGGTCCAATTTTATGGTGGCTTTGAGGATGGGGTTTTGTTATCTTTCAAGAATCTTTTTCAGATGTCAGGCTTTTTTTTTTTATTACAAAAGTGATGGGTGAAATAACCATATGTTCATTTGTAGGCTGGAACCCCAGAACAAACAGATTTGTTTTCTGGGTTAGCAAAATTTTTAATGACATTTAAGATTGTTGGTCTGCTGATCTGTATCTTCAAAACTGACATGACACTGGAGCCCTAAAAATTGCAAGAAGTCTTTGACTCTCCTTTCCCATATATTTTCTTCTTTTAAATATTACCATCTAAACAGATCTGGTACAATCCGTTTTACTGCAGAGAAGTTTTAAAGTGTCATTTTGAATCCTGTATGAGCAAGACTAAGTAACTGTTAATATGTAACAACAATTTAGTATGGGAAGTAAATGATGCTATTACAGCATGGCTCCATTTCTGTTCAATTTTAATTAAATGTTCCATCTTAAAAATTGTTTCATTTTGCGGGGGGAAACTTTAGTTAGATGTAAAAGGCTCCAGTGCTCAAACTGTGTAGCAAAACATCTTTAAAATTGCATTAGGAAACACAGTTTTGGTAAGAAGCTTGTGCATGCTCACATTTTACTCATATCCACTTTCATAGCGATGTTGTAGTTGAATTCCAAATGACAACTAGATCTTATTCAAAATTAAACCATGAGTATGTTGGGGGGGTTGAATTTTAAAGTCTGTCTAATATGCATGCATATTAAAGGATTTTTTTTTTTAATGGTCACTTTTATGTGCACTCATGTTAAATTTGGCCTCCCTGTTATGCCTAGGTATGATTTGGTCCTCTATTTGAGGCCACAGAACTCTGGATGATCTTACATACCCTTTGAGCTAGGATACCTAGGCACAATGAGGTGAGTTAAGGATACAATTTCAGCCTTAACTCTGAATTTCCTGATTTCTGTGTTGCTTAAGTAGGCCCTTGCTGTTATTTTTACACGCAGTGGCTACGTGACTGTACCACTCAATGTATTCAGCTATATTCAGCACTGTTTTGAATAGCTGTATTCTGTGCTGATCACTGCAGAAGTTGAAGCGTCTCTTGACAGAAAAGAATGCCATTGTTGCAGACTTATGTACTAAATTTTTTTAGTTTAATAAACTCTTCAGGTTTTATTACTGAAGTATTGGTATCATGCCTTTGTTTTGTGCCATATATTTATTTTATGCTGCATTGTGATGATAGAACATTACCATTGTGATAATAAAACATTAACTTCATTAATTGGGAATAAAATCTATATACCTTCAGAAGGAGGATCTTCTAAATGATACTGTTAATAACAAAACATTGGTCTTTAGTTATCTTTGTGCCACTAATGGAAGCATATTGTGTGTGTTTTTTTAACATTCCCAATACTTCAGTTGATTTCAGACTAAAAAATTTTAACTTTTTCAGGTTTGGTGACATTAAGATAGACCAGATATCCATGTTAAAGCTGAACTTGGGATAACAGATAACGTATAAGAAGTAAAATGAACTTGCAACACCTCTAATCAAAGTCCGAAAGAAATTTTCAGTAATTGAATATAACTATAGGAAGATTATATCTTTATTCCAAAGGAATAAAAATAAATAAATAAAATTAGATAGGGTTTTTAAACAAGAATAAGTTTTGGAACTTTGTCCTAATGCTGAATTTTTCATGCTGAGCTTTGTAAAGCCAACTGTTTTCTAACATGGGGATGCTTAGTAAGTGAACCCCAGAGATTTGCTGGTTATACTACCAATTGCAGCACAGGGTTATTCACAGCTTTTCGAAAAACAAAATATGTAATCCATCAGATAGAGGATGCGAGTCAAGAACTTAAAGTGCTTCAACCTTAAGTTGATCCAGAAACTCAGATCGGATGCTTAGGGAAAGGTGCGTGCTTATGAAGTTACGCATCTTAATTGAAGAGTGTGCCAGAGTAGCCTATTCAAGTGGTTCCTTTGTTTTAAGCTAAGCTTGGTGATATGGCAATCTTCTCAGTTTTTTTGAGATCATCTCACTAATGTGCATATATATCTGTATATATATTATTGTTTTCTTTCAAATATTTTTGAATACACCTTGTAGCTTTGCTAGCAAAATCTTTCAAATAGAGGTATCTGCTTTAAGTTGGAGTCCTGAGTATTGATCAATCAAATATCTCTCCAGGACTTCCTGGACAGAAATATACAGGCAAATATTGGGATTTCTGGACAAAAAAACAGAAAATACTTCTTAAGTTTCCTCAAGTCAATACAAAAATCTTTCTGGGACAACCTGCATATATTTTCATGCTATCTAAACGCAGAAAATGTCTTCTGCCAATGCTGAGACACCTTAAGTAAGAGATACGTTGGAAATTAGGGTAGATAGGTATCCTGACCAATTGCTCTCTCGAAGGACTCACTAGCTTGTGTGTATAGCAGTGCTGGACTGGCTGTGTGCATTGATAGGATGCTCTGCCCATGTGACAAATAAACCTTGCACTCATCTACATTTGGTACTGCAATCACCTCCTCCTCACTCTGTGCTCTTTGCCCTGCGCATGAACTACCACAAGCTAGGTACCTCCTTCCATCTTGGTAGTTCTCTTGTGTCATCTAGATCTGGGAACATGCTGTCCTTTTATGCGTATCACCTGCACTTGCTCCTCTTCTTCTGCTACAGGACTATTCTTGCTGCCTTTTCCTTACCTCCTGCCTGTCACTTTCTAAAGAGTATTTGTAGTTCTAAATGTATTTCCATTTCAGCAGCTGGGGGCCACTGTTCTAAGATCTGCACCTGTTGCATATTGTTTTCTAGCAGTAAGACAAGATTCTTTAGCTTCATCCTTATATACTTAAACAGACTCCTCTCCTACTGCAGTCGGAATACAAAAATATATTTATGCTGAAAGGCAAATATTTGATGAGACCACAAATTCCCTGCTGAGTGTAATTTTTCTGCCTCTTTTTGTTGTTGTTTAAAGCTCCTGTATCCAGCTGATCCAACACAGTTTCTGTGTTGATCTTGCCTCTAGGCACAAAATATGTCTTAATTTCCCTTGCCTTTTTTGAAACCATAATTGGGTTAGCAGTCTGCCAGAGCAACTGATTGTTCCATCTTGATTTTTCAGTAAAAATAGTTACGACTTAGTGCTGTCCCTCCCTATAATGTCCTGTATTAGTTATCATTTAACAAGTGCAGTTTGCTGTAGTGACCCTCCCTTCATTGTCATAGCACTGTTCTAGTAGTTCTTCACCACAGGTGTCTCTACCTTCTTTCTTGTTTCTCTATCAGCTTAATTACAATGTTTGTAACCACTGCTTCAGGTTAGCCCACTCTAATCAACTTAGGATCTTCCTGCTGTTGTCCTAGTACTACTTCTACAGCTGTCTCTGGTACCATTCTCTAGTTATATCTCAGAGAATCTTTAGTTCTTGGTTCCTTTTCCTATGTTATAGTATTAATTCTCTTGAATTATGTCATTCTAGTAGTCTGTGGCTTATAATTTTTCTGCTGCTGTTCATTATTTCACTGCCCTTGATGGATTTTCCTTTTATGTCCTTTATTTTGTAATTGTGTGAACTCTAGTCTTCAGGTTGTGTACCTGCAGTTTGTTTGAGTTTCAGTTGCTGTAACCTGTTCTGCGTGTGTAGTTGACTCCCTTGATTACCATTTAAGTCAACTAGATTGTATTTTTCTTAAATTAAGAAGTGCATTATTATTCTTTATTATTTGCACTATAATTGGAAATGAGAACACTCTGAAGCATAGAAAACTAATATATGATGTGGCTTATAGTATTAACATAGTAGGTTTTCCTTTGTTAAACACTAGCTTTGATTGCAAAACAGGTTAGTTGGCTTTTTCCTCTTTTTTTTTTTCTTTCTCCTTTCTTGTTGGAAGTGGTTTCACATTCAAAGCCCTGAACTAATTTTCATTTTTTTAATACAAAATCAACATCCTCTCTCCCAGTCCTAAGGTTTAAGTAGTATTTTCAATTGCAAAATAGTCTCATAGACTGAAGATATATTATTTTTCCTAGCCTATAGCTCACTGAGAAAAAAACTGCTATTATGGCCTTACACCATTTAATTACTGTGCTTTTAATTAAATCTCAGATTATATTTAATAATCCTTGTAGTCTCTCTCTTTAAATACTGTAGTTTGGGCATTACTAAGCAACATTAAAAACATGGCTGTAATATGAAGAGGTTTGTTTATATTTTTAAAAAAAGCAATATTTAACGCTTAAGTCTAAGGACCAGCGTCACACAAACTAGTAACTTAAATGTAAGATTGAATAGGATAGCTATATTGTAAATTAAGAAACAAATGAAAAATCTAAAATTTCATATGGCTTATTATTCAGCAAACCATCTTTTAAAAAAATCTTTACATCTTGGAACACCTCTAAATGTTATTAGTTTATTCCTAGGATATTTGAAATTTTTTGTCCAATGCATCATTTTTATAAAAATTTTAGGTTCCATAATGTGCCTTATTGTCCCAAATTAAAATTTTTTTGAACTCCTACTCCTGCTTGGAATTCTGATTATTTGAAGGACATTCTCTGTGGGAGAATTGGCTTTTTTAAAACCATAGATATAATGTAATTTGGGCAGCTTGCTTTTAATAGTAATTTGTTTGTTTTTCCACTGAAATCAGAGGGTTCCTGTATTTCTTTCACGTCCTTTATTAATCACTTTAGGGAGGTGGTGAGACAGTAGAATGACAGAGTTTCTAAGTAGAGGTGTGAAATACCAGTTTTATCAATGAATTGTATATGACAGTCATCCTATGTTCATTTTATTAGTCTCCTACAGCAAAGCCTTTTCTGTGGCTATTCAGACTAGATTTCCTGCCCGTTTTAGACTGAAGCTCCAATGTGAATCAGCATAGAAAGTGCGTGTTTGTAATGAAGAATGTTGCCCAGCTGAAATTAAATTTTTATCACCAGTACTGAACAAATTCTCAACACTTTTTTCTAGGTAATTAATAATGCTTGTGCCACTCAAGCCATAGTAAGTGTGCTATTAAATTGTGCTCATCAAGATATCCATCTAGGAGAGACTTTGTCAGAATTTAAAGAATTTTCACAAAGTTTTGATGCTGCGGTAAGTGCCTACTATTTTCTGTATTTTAAGTATTATAGTGTTATATCTACATTGGCTTACAATTTAATTTTGTTACTTACTTTCAGATGAAAGGTTTGGCACTAAGCAACTCGGAAGTGATTCGGCAAGTTCACAACAGTTTTGCCAGGTAACGCATGTTTTAAATCTAGGCAAAATTTGAGCAAATTCTTTTTCATCTCAGATTTTTTAAAATTTTCTTTGCAGACAACAGATGTTTGAATTTGATGCAAAGTCTTCAGCAAAAGAAGAAGATGCATTTCACTTTGTAAGCTATGTTCCTGTTAACGGACGGCTATATGAACTAGATGGCTTAAGGGAAGGACCAATTGATTTAGGTAATATTTTATATTTTTTTCTGAACATCCTTCATTTTAACAATAGCTTATTGCAACAAATTGGTTGTATGTTATAGGATCAAACCAAGTCATTTATTAAAATAAAGCATATTTTTTAAGTTTTCTTCTTTGCAGTCATTTATGTTGTTTTATTTTTGTTGGTCTGAAAATGCAATTTTCTTCCTGCTTCCTCCATGTTTCCAATTATCTCTCCTTTCATTCAGTAATCAAATGAACAGGCCATGCAATCCCGTGGGCTTCTAATACCTTAATAGTTTTGCTGCAGGAGAGAAGTTTACATAACCCACTTCTTGTGGCTATTTGCTCTCCTTACCTGAGGAAATATGTTGTTGTTCTGAGCTATTGCTAACAACACCTGGTAATCTTCTTGGCTTTCCATACGGGCAGTGCGCAATTCCTTTCGCTGATGTTTTTCCCCACATCTTCCTTTTTGTGGTATTGTCACCCAAGACAATTCCCATGTCATGTTTTCAAAGCTATTTTTTTTCCCAGGTTGATTATAAACTGTTTATTTTATCATTTGTTTCTTCTGTGGGAGCATGTATACAGCTGACTCCATGTGCTTTTTATGCATTATGTGGCTGGTGTTTACACACTGCCCTCTTTCTTCTTAGATAGCAAAAATTTTCCCAAAGGTTTAAAAAAGAATAGCTACTTTTAGCATAGTTTTATTCTCTGTAAGACTTGTTCCTGTTTCATGTCTTGTAATCTTTCGTAACTTGCAGTATGTGTGCCATCTTGTGTCTTGAAAAGCTCTACAGTGCCTATCATGTGTCTGCACTTTCTTTTGAGTCTGATATAATCTCAATATGTTCCACGCTCCCCTTCCAGAGTGTTTTCCCAATTTTCTTGACAGTTGTATTTATTTTTAGGCTGAGAAATGGCTTGCTGCTAAATCTCATCTTTAGTCTGGCTAGAGAGACTATACAGTCTGCTGACCTACTCATAACATAACTTTCATGGTCACAAGATCATGAGTCTCTTCATTTGGTTTAAGGTCTTGAAATTGTTAAAGAAGCATTATCAACTTATGAAATCGCCTTTAGTTATTCTCTTGTTTATCTTAAAATCAAGTTATCTATCACATATCCTTTTATATTTTTTTCTGTCTGACTTCTTAACATTGTATTGCATCTACATAGTATTAACTCTTTGTTTTGTCTAAATGGAACAGCTGTAACTATCCATAATTTTTTTCTTTTGCTGTCTACTTTTATGTTGTCATACCAACTGATTTCTTTTGTGTCATAAAAATCTTGCATAACATACTTTTCCCCCCTGCCTTGTTGTTTCTTTTTATCAACAAAATAAGTGTTAGATGCTTATGCCCTTAAAATTTAGTTTTGCTCCATTGCTTTGGCCAGTACATTACCTAAGTATTGTTATTAAAAAAGTCTTCCACCTCCTAAAAAAAAAAATCACCTGAGTAATTTGAGACTGCAGTTGCCAAGGAAGAACTTGTTACATATTCTGAAGTTGCTGCATAAGCCCAATTATACAAGTCTTGAATTTGCAATAAATTTTGCAAAGAAGATTAATTTTTTTTTTCTTTGTGTTTTTTCTAGGTGCATGCAATCAAGATGACTGGATAAGTGCTGTACGGCCTGTCATAGAGAAACGTATACAAAAGTAAGTGGTCACAATGCTTTTAAAATAGAGCACCTTATATATGTTCAAAAATTCCTTATTTTTAATTTCCTTCAATTAAAGGCTTTCAGCTGAATTTCTAAGGAATGACGCTTATGCATCATTTTTATGTGCATATCACTGTGTGACTTCAGAACCTATTGCCCAATATGAGCCAAATGTGATGATAGATAAGTCTCAAATACGCTGTGTTCCTGTATGATTAATCAAAGTAGGTATCTGTGTGGTGAAGAGAGATCCTACTAGTACTCTGAAAAAGGAAGAGCAAGATTACAAACTCTGTTAGACAGCTGTGGGTCCTTGTGAGTGAAAACTAAGAGTGCCATTACCATGGATAAAGTTTGGGTGTGCGTTTATAATTAAAAATAACCAGATAAGAACTATATCCATACAGCTGGTATTTACAGAGAACAAGTTTTCCTCAGGTAAGTGGCTTGTTTTAGAAATTTAAGCTAGAAAAACATATTATAGACTTAGCTCTGACCACAAGCTGCAGCCCCAAACGTGCTAGAAATAAAGTTGATTTTATGCCATTCTTAGAAAATAATTTTCAAAGTCTTTTACTTGAAGACTTTTTTTTGATAACCAAAACATTACTACCAAATCACATTTGGAGAATTTAAACTCTGAAAGGCCTGCTAGCCTAATTGTTGCGTGTACTTTTCACATTGTATGAAGAAGTCTCCAACATTTTCTAACAAGTAACAGTAATGAGAAAGTAAAAACTATTGTGTGCAGCAGTCTTAGCAAGTTTTGTTGTCAACTATAACATGTTTTGTTTTCTTTTTTGGACAGTTTCAATATTTATTTTTTTGTGACCACAAACAAGAATAGTAATATCTTGCAAGAGGAGGTTATTAGGAGTTACATATTGGATAATGCTCATTTGAGGTCTGATTTTATTTCGTGGCAAGATTGGATCTGTAGCACAACTTAATTTAACAGATCCATTTAGATTTTTTTTTTTTTCCAGAAAATACATTCCCTCATAATGAAATCAGGGAGGAGGTTTTTGAGTTGTCATGTTAATGATTAATTTTGAAAGTGGGGGTTTTTTGTTTTTTGTTCCTCATTTAGATACAGTGAAGGTGAGATAAGGTTTAACTTGATGGCTATTGTATCTGACAGAAAGATGATATATGAGCAGAGGATTGCAGAATTGCAGCAGCAACTTGCAGAGGTAGGCCATGGTATTTAAGTTACTGGAGTAGTTCTCTGATAATAGTTCTGTGTCTTCGCTTTATTATTTACCTCCTCCTTTCCTTGCTCCAAATGGAGTATCACTAAAAAAAGCAGGGAAGGTTTACTACGTATCTGTCCAGCACAGTGCAGTGCTGTGTGGATGCACTGATGCGGCTCTGGTTAGTTCCGGGTGAGCTAATTTGAGCACTCGGTACAGAATGACCATGTCATTGTGGCTCTCTTTCTTGACTAATTTGCTGCAGTAGCTCAACTGTTCTTTTCCTAGTACTTGAGCTAATCTGCTTATAACTAACTGTGGAAATTCTTTGAATGTTCCTATAACTGTAGGCAAAACTGATTTTTTTTTGTGATAGAAATACTCTTAAGACTTATTTTAATTAAAAAAAAAAAATGCAGTAACATCATCCATTTAGCTTTTTCTGTTTTGTGGAAGGAGGAGCCTATGGATACAGATCAAAGCAGTAATATGTTAAGTTCGATACAATCAGAAGTTGCAAAATACCAGATGTTAATTGAAGAAGAGAACCAAAAATTAAAAAGATATAAGGTATGTAGCCTTTGATTTTTCTGATGAAACTGTTGGGAAAGTTGTAAGAAAAAGCCAGCTTTTATATCTATGGGAGGCTGTTGCAATTAATCTGAAGGAGTTGGATGGGTACTAGGAAGACGATGTTAGGCAAATTCATGTTGCATTCCTGAATTTGCAGGTTAATCACCAGTTTGCTTCCTTTTAGCATAAGGCTTACAAGTCAGTTTTTGTAATGGTCTCTGTAGCTCCCTTTGTTTTGCCACTTCTTTGTATCTTTCTCACTTTAAAGCATTTTTTAAGCACAGTGAGTTCTGGAACTCCTACAAAGAAATTGCTCTATATGCCCCAGAAGGCTGATCGGCCTTTTCTTGCTGGAGTTGCTAATTACACTACTATATGTAACAGTGGCCTCTTACTAAGTAGGATTTTTTGTTTGTTTTTACTAGAAGGACTTTGGCATATTAGTCGTAACATTTTTCTACAGAGTGTTCATATAAGTTCTTCCAGCTCTCATTGTCAGTAATGAAGAATGTTGATGTGTCAGTTGATAATGAAGGCTAATCGAGAGATTCTGTGAACTTCATGTATAGATTCATTTTGTGTTTGCACGTATATCTCCTATTCTGACATATAAGTACTTGCATAGCTTTTAGTGAAGAAGCTCTCCTAGGGTACTTGAATTGTTCTTTTATTATAGTTTACCTGCTGTCTTTTCCTCTGTGGAAAGCGATGAAGACACAATTGGCATGTTCTGCATTTTCCTAAATAAGTATTTTATGTGTGTACACTGAAAGTATATCAGTCTTTGAGATGATGTGGTATTAATGAAAAAGAGGTATGGGAAAGTTTCTCTGAGATCGTCACTTCCAACTTTTTTGATAATTCCCTAATACTTTTAAAGGAATGTTTTGGGGGGTACAGGGGGGAAGCTGGGTAACCAAACTTTTTTTTTTTTTTATTAATCCCTTAACCTGTTTTTGTGAGGGGTATAGAAAGTGGCTAGATTAAAAATAAGTTTTAAAATAGAAGTTGTATATATCAAAGGATGAAGAAATGAAAGAAACATTTGCAGTAGATTTTGTGTTTTTTCACTAAAAATGAAAGAAATGTTTTCACTAGTTTCTACAAGGTACAGACCAAGACTTCAATAATTCTAATGATTATTTCAAATATATTTCTACAGTACATTTGTTAAGTTGTAACGTGTTATTGTTATCTGTCTCTAAAGCAGTGTCACTACGTTCTTTTCCACAGCATCAGGTTGCAATTCAAGAAACTATTTAAAAAAAAAAAAAAAAAAAAAAAACACAAACAACCAAAAACTAAAGCATGTGCTTTACCAAGCATGAGAGTAAGCAAACAAATGAAATTGGGGAGTAAAAAACCTTAAAGTTCCTAATTGTGTGCGGAAATATTGTGGAAACTGCTTAAAAGTCCTCATTTCTTTATGTTAGGGTGTCTACTTGGGGTCAGTTGAAAAAACAAACCATTGTAGAAACTGAAAAGTGTTCAGTATAACAGAAACAGTTACGCTTTTACATTACAGAAATGTTTAAATCTTCAGCCTAGGCTGAGACCACAACTACGCAAGGGACTGTAAAAATACATAGGTTGAACTGCAATTTTAGTTGAGAGAAAAAAAAAAAAGTGAATAGATAACAATACATGTCAGTGTTACAGCAGTGGCTAAGCCATATAACCTACTTAATCATTGAGGTTTTTTTTCAGCTAGCATGAAAAAAGACCGTAAGGAGAATTTGTGCCTTAAGGAGTAAATTCATCTGGCATATACTTTCTCACCACATGCTCAGAATTTTATTGCTTTGACTTTATTTTTAGCTGGCTGAAATTTAAAAAAGAACTCCAGCTCTTGGGGGGGAGGTAGTGACAACGACAAGGATGGGGAAAATCTCTGTTTACCCATATAATCTGTTAATGCTTTTAATTTATTTTTAGATTGAAAATATTAGAAGAAAACATAACTATCTGCCTTTCATCATGGAATTATTAAAGACTCTAGCAGAGCACCAACAGTTAATACCATTAGTAGAAAAAGTGAGTATTTCCTAGCTGACTTTTAAGAAACAGTATATTACTATAATTCTTCATACCTTCTACTTAAAATTTAAAATGCAGTCAAGTATCTTGGAAGCATAAATGGCATGGGTTTATTTATTTAAACTTTACATTCAGCTATATTGCTAGTTTACCTGATAGTCCGTTGCAGTTCTCAAGAGGCACAGTTCCAGTGGAGACTGGAGATTGTGAGACCAACCAACTTTGTACTACTATGCAAAGGCAAACTCTATCTCCCCTTTGATAACCTAAACAAATTTTTCTAATGGTGATATAGGAGGAGGCAATTCAATATCAGCTGAACGATTGCATTACAGGGCATAAGATGCTACAATACAAGAGACACATGATTTGGGCTTTTCTACTTGGGAAATTAAAAGCCCGATTAAAATTGTGATGTGTAGCTCCAGTTAGTATGTGGTAGAGTTCCCCATACTATCTTGATATCCCTTTTTGAACTGAAGGTTGTTTAAATGTATACGTATGCAGGTGTGTACATAGAAGATTAATCTCTTTCGCCAACCTGGACTTTTAATACTCAGTTTTGTTGTTTTATCTAGCTGTCAACACTAGATGGCAACCTTTGCACAGAGGTTCTGGTAATTTAGGTAGCTTGAAATTTGTTCTCTTAATCTTCTCTGTTCTTATGCTGATTTGCTGGTTCATTGTTCTCCCCTTTTTAAGGTGTCTAGCTATTAACATTGATTTACTATTAAGGTTTGTATTAAGGCTTAGGTATTAAAGTGTGTCTGTCACTTTGGCAAGGTTATTAAACTGTATGGCTAGTCAAGTACTTGAATTGTAGTATCAGTGCTGGCTTGCATATCTACTCATGTGCCATAGATAGTATCCCTAAGTTTGAACTCACACTGAAAAAGGATCTCTATAATTATTATAATAAAAAAAGAATTAAGTATTATTTAATTAGTACATTCTTTAGCTGAATTTACTTAGGAGAGTATGTTTGCAGGCCAGTAGTTAATAAGACAGAAACTTTTGGATTCAGTTTTTAATCTGTTCCTTCTTTGGGTAACTTGTGGAGTTTTAATCCAGTTTCGTGTTAATAGGACTTATTTATAACACCATCAAGCTTCTTTTACAAGTAAATTTCCAGTGGACTTGAGCAGCTGGTGATAACAAGTCTTAATTCTAAATCATTGAATTAGATCCAGTTCTGTTCAATAATAAGTTGTAAAAAGCAGGAGTCTGATTCAGAGCAAACAAATTTTTTGACAGAAAGATGGCTGGTATTTCATCTGAATTGTCCACTCTTCTTGCCTAATCTTTTTTCCCTAAATTCATAAGGAAGAAAATGCTAGCTCCCTGTCAATTTGAACTATTTATGAATTAATACAAGTTACGTGAGAATCTGTTTGCAGATATATTGGTAGGAACTCTTGTGGGCTTTTTCCCACTCTGCTCTTTTGAAAGATTTAAAAAACTAAGATCTTGGTTGCTTCAGAATTTAATTTGTGATAATCAGTATATCTGAATGCAGTGTGTTCTTGTGACAAAATGTTTTCATTAGGAAGAGTTATTTCTATGTTAAATGAGTAAGGAGGTATGAAGAATGAAAGTTAAATTATGTTTTTAAAATAGTGCTTTTTTATCTCTCTTTTTCCCCTATGAAAGTTACCTTATCTTATAGGTTTAAATATATAATACAAAAGAAACTATATGTATTTTTTAAAGGCTTCATGTATGAACCTAGTAAAATAGTAGTAGGATACTTCTGAAGGGTCTAAATTTACATTTAAAATGTCTCTTTCTACGACATATTTTGTTGACTATTCAGAAGTGTAATGAGTAGTCATTCAAAGCTCCAGAAAGAAGATCTTTGTCTTATCAGGGCTTAACATCATCTCCCTTTGTTTTCTAGGCAAAAGAAAAACAGAATGCCAAGAAAGTTCAGGAGGCCAAGTGAAGATGACTTTGCAAAATACATACAATTATGTGCTTCTGAAACTATTTTCATGACGACAAATAAAACTTTTCATAAACTTTAAATTTTGTCCAGCGCACGTTTAACAGTTGTAACAGTTTGTCTTGTACTGTATGCACGGGTCTAATTCTCTTCCTTCCCCCGCATCTTGTGCATGTAGTACTGCTAAGTAATGTTTAGGTTCTCTTGGTCAAATTCAGTATTTAAGTCTACCTGATTTCTGAAAGCTTGGGAAGAGGACCTAAAAATGTGCAAGGAAAATGTACCCGTTTTGTCCCACTCGAATATATGATAATGATACAAATGCCAGAGTTTAAGTATAAGCATGAGCTTTCTTTGCTCATCCCTACTAACAATCATAATACTATCCAGTTGTTCAGTGACATACCCTGTGTCTTTGTTTTTCTGAAGTATGTGTCTAATTTTTTTACAAAATTGAAAAGTATGAATTTAGCTGTAGAAACATTTGCAAAGACCAATGTATAATCTCAAAAGATCTGCATTGCTTTAGTAGAAAAGATAATAAATATTCCCATTTTTATTTTGGCAAAATTTCTTCTGTGGTATTTTATTATTGGATAAGATGATTAGGACATGTATTGGAGGTCATCAGCCTTGTGACTTGGAGTACGTGCGTTCTGAACTTGGGTTAGAAAGAAGGCACGCTGTTGTTTTGGGGAGTTAATATTCTTGGATATAAGGTAGGGCTGTTCTAGAGTATGTTAAATTTAAGTCTTTAAAACAATGCTTTTTAATTGACCTTGCGAGGTAATTTAATGTAAGAAAAAAACATGTATGGAAGATTCTTGTTGCTAACGGCATTGTAATGGAAGATGCTTGAACTGTCTTCCATGGACCAGAGGGAATGTCTGAGGAATGGAGCTCACATGGTGTTCTGCCTTCTTAGTGCTGCTCCTATGTGAACTATGAATAGGCAAATTGTTTGGGGTAAGGATAGTAACAGGTCATTGTAGCAATACATAATATTTGAATTACTGTAAATTACTGTAACACTGTTAGTGTATAGTATATATTAATTCATTTAGAAAACTTTTCCAGTTTCTTCCAAAAAGACTCAGACAAGAAATAGAAAGAAAAATAAGCAAAAGAACTTGGATTTTGGAAGACATTTAAAACCAGTAAAACATGTTTGTTTTGCTTACTTTGCCTATAGGCATACGTCATTGAACTGTGAGGTCCTTTGGTCTTGTAGGCTTGTATGATGAGAATATACTACATTTAGAGAATTTTTTGAAACCCAGAAATGAAACAAATTCTGTTACCTGTTGGTGCTTCATATACATTGCGTATATATTGACAGGATAAAATTTTAGCCAAAGTAGTAAAACATACACTGTGCTCTCCTACTGCTGAAAGGATCCACTTGAGTCATTGTGGTGGCTGGAAGGGTAAGATCTGTTTCAGAAAAGAACAAGAGATCCATGTCTGTGTTTTGTAGAAAATTGATCAGGTTGATGAGTACATAAACCGTGTGAGAGCTCCCTACTTTAATAATTCATTGCAGCAGTATGGTTTAGGGGAAGGGAAAGACTCTTTCTCTGTAAGAGGCATTTCTGATCTTAATATTATACTCTAAACTGCATTTCAACCTGTTGAAAAGATTTGTCTGTCTTTAAGTGGTAGCCTGATGA